ACTACATTTGTATCTTTGGGGTAAATACCCAGCAGTGTAATTGCTGGGTCATCGGGTAGCTCTCTGTTCAACTTTTTGAGGAATCTCCATACTGTTTTCCAGAGTGGCTGCACCAGCTTGCATTCCCACCAACAGTGTAGGAAGGTTCCCCTTTCTCCACATCCTCGTCAACATCTGTCATTTCCTGACTTGTTAATTTTAGCCATTCTGACTGGTGTAAGGTGGTATCTCACTGTGGTTTTGATTTGGATTTCCCTGATGCTGAGTGATGTTGAGCATTTTTCATGTGTCTGTTGGCCATTTGGATGTCTTCTTTAGAAAAATGTCTGTGCATGTCTTCTGCCCATTTTTTGATTGGATTATTTGTTCTTTGGGTGTTGAGTTTGATAAGTTCTTTATAGATTTTGGATACTAGCCCTTTATCTGATATGTCATTTGCAAATATCTTCTCCCATTCTGTAGGTTGTCTTTGGTTTTGTTGACTGTTTCCTTTGCTGTGCAAAAGCTTTTTATCTTGATGAAGTCCCAATAGTTCATTTTTGCCCTTGCTTCCCTTGCCTTTGGCGATCAGGAAGAAGTGGCTGTGGCTGAGGTCGAAGAGGTTGCTGCCTGTGTTCTTCTCTAGGATTTTGATGGATTCCTGTCTCACATTTAGGTCTTTCATCCATTTTGAGTCTGTTTTCGTGTGTGGTGTAAGGAAATGGTCCAATTTCATTCTGCATGTGGCTGTTCAATTTTCCCAACACCATTTGTTGAAGAGAACGTGGTTTAAGATTTTTTTTTTTTTTAAAGATTTCATTTATTTGACAGAGAGACACAGTGAGAGGGAACACAAGCAGGGTGAGTGGGAGAGGGAGAAGCAAGCCCCCATGGAGCAGGGAGTCCGATGCGGGGCTTGATCCCAGAACCCTGGGATCATGACCTGAGCCGAAGGCAGACGCTTAACAACTGAGCCACCCAGGCGCCCCATGTGGTTTAAGAGTCTAATGAAAGACACTGTCTCTCAACTATGCAGGCATATACGCAAAGCAAGAATGAGGCAAGATAAACATCTACTTTGGAGTTGGGGGCAGGGGACAGAAGCCTATAAGCTAGTACAAAAATGAGTATTAAAAGTGCTCATACCCTTTGTACCAATAATTCATTTCTAGAATATTCTTAGGATAATTCTTATAAGGAGATGTTAACAATCCTACAAGCCAGCATTCACTGCAATATTTACCAGAGTATCTACTAAGGAATTTATCCTAGTACATTTATATAGTAGAGCTTTACATAGCTATGAAATATTTATGGTTTCAGGATATAGTGAAGTTTATGTAAAGTGAGTTCATGATACAAAACTAGTAAAGACTATACTTTTCCATAAGTTCTAACAAACAACAAAAACAGTAGATGGAAATAGCCACTGATACATTGATTTTTCTGGATGGTAGACTTTGGGAGACCAAGTTGCAAAAATGCATTTGTTTCCAAGTGATGCTTTAACAAACTTTCCTCTAAATCTGGCTAGTTAGCGGTCTTCATACAATTGTAGACTATGACCTATCATAAAAGAATTTCTCCTTTTGACAGGCAACAGTGACACCCTCTTTCCCAAAATCTGTGTAGTAATGCAGTTGCCTTATGAGTTTATACACGTTAGGTGTCTGGAAGAGCGTCGTTCATTTTATTGAGAGCAAAGGCAGGGGGCTACATCAGTAGACAATGTCTTATTCAAGACTGCAGCCTGTTAATTGGCATATGGTGAAGTGAATGCATTCTAACCCCTACATCCTTTAAAAAGCACATTTGGAGTGACTACCCAATAGCAACATCCATCAGCTAAGACTGCAGCTTCACATAGTAGGTAGTGTGGTATCTGTTCATCCCAATTAATGATGTTAGCATCTTTCCTCTGCACAATAGTGTATACACATCCCAGGTGACTAACATCTAACTGGAAAAATGTGCTCCATATGGAGTTCTGAAGCTTCAGGTTTTTGAAGATTCTTTTCCAAAAGGTAATATAGGATTAAAAAAAAATTATTTAAATTCAATTAACACACTGTATTATTAGTTTCAGGGGTAGAATTTAGTGATTCATCAGTTGCATATAACACCCAGTGCTCATTACTTCACGTGCCCTCCTTAATGCCCATCCCCCAATTACCCCATCTCTCCCCCACTTCCCCTCCAGTAATCTTCAGTTTGTTTCCTAGAGTTAATAGTCTCTTATGGTTTGTCTCCCTCTCTGATTTCCTTATTTTTCCCTCCCTTCCCCTACGATCCTCTGTTTTGTTTCTTAAACTCCATATATGGGTGAAATCATGTTATGTCTTTCTCTGATTGACTTATTTCACTTAGTATAAAACCTTCTAGTTCTATCCACACTGTTGCAAATGTTAAGATTTCATTTTTAATGGCTGAGTAATATTCCAGTGTGTGTGTGTGTGTGTGTGTGTGTGTGTGCGCGCACGCACGTGCACACACCACCTCTTTATCCATTCATCCATCGATGGACATCTGGGCTCTTTCCATAGTTTGGCTATTGTGGACATTGCTGCTTGGGATTTTTTATTTTTATTATTTTTTATTTAAAGATTTTATTTATTTATCTGACAGAGACACAGTGAGAGAAGAAACACAAGCAGGGGGAGTGGGAGAGGGAGAAGCAGGCTCTCCATGGAGCAGGGAGCCCGATGCGGGGCTCAATCCCAGGACCCTGGGATCATGACCTGGGCCGAAGGCAGATGCTTAACCAACTGAGCCACCCAGGCGCCCCGCTTAGGATTTTTTAATACATCAAACACAAGGTTTTCCTTGGTGTCAGAATGTACAGATATTGTGGAATATGGTGACTACTATGGTGCAGCCTTTGGAACTTGAAGTAAATTCTTTCATCTCCCTGCTTTGAGCTCATTTACTCATTCCTGGAAGTAGGATGAACCATGTTTAGCCTAATGACCTTCTGTTGAGGAGTCTTTTAAGGTTAGCTTTTAAAGGAAGGCAGAAGCCAGTGGCTCCTGAGCGGTTATCCTCCCCTGCATAGAAACTGATAGGCTGTTTAAGAGTCTGGGCAGTAGTCAAGACCTCAATTTTTTAAGACAATGGACCAAAAGTGTCTCTTTGCTAACTCAAGTCCTTTATCTTATTTGCAGTATGCTTTTTCATGGAAAGGAAAAACAACAACAACAAACAAACCCAAAACGTTTCCAGTCTATTTGAATTATTTTTGCTAGCAAATTTGAGAGGACTGCGACTTCTGCAGTCGGTTTCAACCAGTTGTGCTGTAGGTTTAGGGAAGCTCATCACTTTAGAATCCCAGTCAAAATCTCTTCTAAATCGATGTGTTCTTGGCATTCTGATAAATCAATCAAAACTGGATCTAATGGCTTAATGCAATTGAGTCAAGTTAGCTCCTGCATAGGCAAAAGTCATTGAAATTTCTGCAGAAGTTTAATTTACACAATTTTGTGTGCAAATCTGATCAACAAAGTCAAGTTCTGTACTAAGTGTATATTTGTCCTTCAGTTCCTTAAAAAAAAAAAATCCTCTGGCCACAGGAATGCTCAATGTTTAGTAGAGGAAACAGGTTCGTTCGTTCAGAGAGATGAGACAGAATACCCCAAATCACATGGTTCACTAACCTGAAGCTCCCTGTAAGGGGCTGCATTCCCTTCCTGCACATTTAGGGTGAATTCCATTGTTTGGCAGCTGCAGGTAAACTTACAGTAAGGAAATGCATTCTTGAGGATGCAAAAAGAGAAGATGCCAAGTTAGGGGGAAAATAAAAATCCAACCCCTAAACATTTATACAGTCGGCAGTCTCTTCAGAAAGATTTCAGTTGAAGTTTTTCTATTAAAACATTTTTGTAGGGAAGCCCTAATAATACAGGTGAGAGCGATCCTTTCCGATCTCAAACTATTTGGGGGGTGGCTTGGCTGCAGTACTTCAATCATGTGAGCCTAAGTTGGTATGTCTGGCATTGTGTGGTTGTTCAGCCTGAATCTTAAACAAAAACCAAAACCTGAGTGTTCTTATCTGGCTTCTTGACTGATTCAGACCTCCCTCCTCCCTTCATGGAATAGCGAAATCCCAATGCCAATTTCGAAGTTATTTACCAGGAAATGCACAAGTCTCAAATGCACCTGCTTATACTCTTAACCTCTTAACCAGGATAGCGGGTCACAATAGTATATTACATGGGTCTTGTCAGAAAGCTGCTTGTTCTATTGCTCATTTTCTTTAGGGATGATGGATTTGTGCTCAGTGTAATTGGACTCCAAGCCTGTGAAGAACCGACAGCTTCTTTCCGGTGTTTGAGGTCTACCGTGTCCCTCAAATTTTTTTCCCCCTTTCACGTGGTGGACAGGAAAATCTGAGGGCAACCTGGCGTTCTAAGGGAGCCTCCTGTTACCTCTGGCTGTGTCCTAAGCTTCTGTGTACCCTGCGGGATATCAGGCTGGAGCTGTCCGCTTCGAAGATTCACATCCTCAAGGTGGGGGGTCACAGGCCTGCCTGTGCAGCGTACATTCTTTAAGCGCCCCCTCGGTGCTGTCTAGAGGCCGCGGAGCCCGCAGGAAATCACTCCCGAGAGCGGCGTTAGGTGTCGGTGGCTACCACGCCTCCCGCTTCAGGGCTCGCTTCCTACTGAGGACGGGAGGGGATACTACGGCTCTCCAGCACTGGAGCACAGTTCTGCTCCGCTCTACCCGAATAGGCTGCTACGGGAGCACGCAGAACTCGGGCAGTTGCTGCGGCACCAGCCGATTTTCCGCTCTCCCCGGTTCGCCCTTCCGCCCGCGCAGCCCTAGCCCCCGCCCTCCGCCCAGCTCACAGGAACCAGCTCCCTCGCCGCTCCCGCGCTTCTCTCCTACCACCCGCAGTGGCCTGCTTTTTATAGGCACCGCAGCCAATGAGCGCTCTCCTTTCCTTCTGCCCGCCCGCCCAGCCAATCGCCGCGCCCCTTGTGTAATCTTCGGCTGCTCGGCTGCTCTCGGCTATTTTCGTTGTTGCTGGCTTTTTCAGGGGCTGCTCGCTCGCAGCCAGAGAAGCTGCTTTTTTTTCCGGGTTCGGAGCCGTTCCGGATGCTTTAGGCTGCCGGATGTCTGATCTCCGGATAACTGAGGCGTTTCTGTACATGGATTATCTGGTAGGTGCGGGCCAGGGGTGGCGTGTCGTCTCTCGCACTCCAACGTGCCCGGTGTCCCTCCGCCTGGAGGAACAGCCTTTTTGCTTGCTTGCTTTGGGATGGGATGCATTTGGGGTTCTTTCTCCTGCAGCCTGCTCTGGAGCTGTGCTGGGACTCCGAGTGGCCGCCGGCGGGGCGGAGGAGGGGGTGGTGGAGCTGACAGGTAAAGGTGTGGCCCCGGCCGCCCCCCTGTGGGGAGAGGGGCGTGCTGGGGGTGCGGGAGAGATGGGGCCGCGGCGGCGGGGCGTCCTCTGCCTGCGATCCGGTTCTTTGCTTCCCTCTGTGCTCCCCGCAAAGGACTTTCTTTCCTGGGAGGCAGGAGTTTTCTGTTCTCCCTTTAGCAGAACTCCAGGTACTATTAAAGAGCCATAACCAGAATGGCTTACTAAGTGCCCGGCAGCCCCGGTCATTTGGTTGTTATTAGATCTCTAAAGCTATGACCTCGGTCGCGGCGAGGTTTTAAAAGCACATTACCGTAAAGTGGACGGGACTAAACTACATCGAAGCCTGGTCGGGACTGGGTAGGGGCGGGCATTGTCCCACCGTTCCTGTCGTGGGTGCCCTGTGGCTTTTACCCTGGATCCCAGCTGTGTTTTTAGGCCAGGCTTGTGCTGAGAAGTTTAGGTGGGAAGTGTCAGCACAATGCTGGGACTGAACATTATTTTAATAATGCACTCGTGTTTTTGTGGAATTATGCAAGCATCATGTATTGTTCCAGAAATTCTATTTCCCCAGAGCTGCATGTTTGTGTTCAGGGGGAACCTCACTGACATTGGCTGTGTTTGATCCTATACAATTACCAGGTTTACCTTGTTAGCTCTTCATGTAGAGTTGCAGTAGCTGGTTAAAAACATTGATCTTGTTGGACACATGCAGTCGGTTTTACTGTAGATTGTCCTGGCAGAGATTTGCCAGTGCCTTCTAGGAATTAAACTTACTGCGGTTCTAAGAAAGACTGTGAAAGCTATCATGATGAAGAAACGCTGGACAAGGACGGGTTTTGTACTGTTTTCTTGTCTAGGACTTAACTCTAGTTTATGTGAAGGAAATGTTTCCCCTAAAGCTTAATGGCTTGTTTTTGTTTTTTTGTGGGGAAGGATGGTGATTGAAGTAAGTGCATGACCTTGTAATGGAGCAGAGATAAAAAATTGAGTTCAAATTCTGTTTTGTTCATTTGTTGATGTCAGTTATCTTTGTGATAAAGGGACATTATCCACCCACACCTGGAGCTAGTTAAGGAGGTTATCTGATTATGCGTGTCCTTTAAAATTCAAAGTGCCATGTAGGTTAAGAGTTGCCAAGTGTTTTAGATTTTCTAAATTAAGTAACTGATTATTTTGTAGCTTGTCTTATAAAATACAATACTATGGTTTTGTTTTGCAGTCCACTCAAAGCCAAAGTTTGTTGAGGGTAATTCCAAATAGGAAAGGGTGACATTACCTGTACTACTGAAAGCTAATTTTGGATACTTAAGTAGTTCCTAAAAAGGAAGTTTGGTGGTTCTGATCATTGTTATTTCTTTAGTGGATGAGTTTTAAATTTACAAATAGCATCACAAAGCGGAGGTGCCAAAACCACCAAACCACTTGGGGTTCAGGGATTGAAAACTGGTCGATTACTCAGGTTAATTTCTAGGTGGATTATTTAAAGGTGGTGAATGATTGTTAGTGGGGCTTTAGGGTACCTTAAAAGCAGATTAATTTGTCAGTTTAGTGACAGTTTTGTGTTAAAATCAATGGGCCCTAAATTTGACACAGCCTTTTGGTTTCACCTGCCATGCCCCCACACACCGCATTGCATTGGTACTAAAAAATAACATTTTGTAACTTTAAGCTTTAAAAAAAATCATAACTGCAGTGAAACTGTTAAATAAAAATCATTGGCTAATCGTTGGGGATGAGAAAATCTTAAAGGAAATAAGTCCCGTTTTTATGAGTGTGCCAAGTATCGCCTGTGAAAATACTTGAGAAAATCCTTAAACATGAAGTCCAATTTTCCTGTCCAATTTCACTTAAAAAACAACTCTTCAGAGGCAGGTTTTTGTGTTTACTTCTTATCAACTCTGAGAAATGAAGTGCCACATATTCCTCTCTTGCCTTTCAAATTGACTCATTTGCTTATATATAATCTTTATATGGTGTTCATTAAAAACCAATTTCTGGAAAAAAAATCAATTCTGTTGACTACATCTGCCATCTTATTTTTAAAACCAATTCTCAAGTTCTTGGCTTCCAGAAAAAAAAAATGCCCCTTTCATGACAAGATTGGCTCTTCAGATTTTGCTGAGCTTGTGGACTAGAGCTCCCTGTCCACGCACTTGACAGGCATACTGGTGTATGCTATCTTTTCTTTTTTAATCAGTGCTTGACTTTTCTTGTTGCTGCGTTGGAAGCTGGAAGAGGGAGCTGTGTGTATGTATTGTTCTTTGGATGGGATGTCATCACTTAACCTTTTTTATGTGGAGGAGATTAGAAAGGAAGGGAAATGGGAGAAAGGTAGGTGCTATTTTTAGCAGCTTATAATAGGACTGTGGGTATTGAAACGAATGATGTAGCTGTCTGACCTTTGAGGTTGCAGTTGTTTTTCTTAAAAGAAATGTTCTCAATGAGAGGTGACCAATAAGGTGAGGGACAGGGATAATGCCTTAATATTTAAGACAGGGCTTTTTAAATTCAGTTCAGGGATATAGTGGTAATTTGCTAATTCTGAATAAATATCACCCAGTGCCCAGTATTTGTTGAATGAGTGAGACCAAGGGACCGTCCTACTTTTCTCACCAGCTTCTAAACTGAGACAAGATAAAATCTGTTTGGATTAGGTGTTTTGTTCTGGGGAATGCAGAATGTATCCTTTACACTTGAAGATTATCAAGATACTTTGTGTAGCCTGGGTGGCAATTTAAATATAAAAACCTCTTGTTTTCCGGTTAAGGAAGTAGGCTTAGGAGGCCGCACACCTTTTCTCCATCTTCAGGATGGGCTTTGAAGGCCAATGTTCATACCGTTGGGTCTATGGGTGAAGATTTTTCTACTGTTCCAACAGGCAGTACTGGCATCTTACTTTCTCTTGACAGGTAGAACTAGTGAGACTACGTGCAGAGCTTTTGAATAAAGTAGGAGAAAATCGAGTAATGAAAGAGAAACACATCTACCAGGTTTTCCTGCTAGGTTGGTTGGACAAAATCAACTAATAGATTCCTTTCAGTTTCAAATTTTTTTTCTGTCCTAGCTCATGTTGATTGGTTAGGATTTTACCCTTTTCCCCCCTTCTGCCATCAAAACAGTAAAAATTCATTCTGCTTTGTGTAATGCCTATGATGATGGTTAATGAGATAATGGAGGGGAAAAAAGGGATTTATAAACAGCACATTTTTTTTCAGATATAAAATGTTACTGTATTGTGATTACATCTCTTATTCTTCTACCTAAAGACCTTCATGATTTCTCACTGGTAAATGCTGGGCTAACTTTTAAACTAGTGCTAGTATATGGAAAGATTTGGAGTGGTAATCAGCAAGCAGGATGTCATAAGACCCTTGATTGTTTAATACTATCACATGTTGATATTTTCATCCATTCAACAAATGTTCATGGAACCCACTGCTCTGTGCATGGCCCTGAAAGTCATGGGAGGATGAGCTCCCAGCTGAGGTCCCCTTGGCTATAGGACTGCCAGGCATGTGGCTCTAGGGGAGTCCGTGGCAGGACAGGTTGCACAAGGAGCATCGGAGAGAAGGCAGCTTCCGATGTGCTCCCTGGCTTTCTGGTAGGCTTCTCATTTTACATGTTTTGTTTTATTGTGAACTAAAATGCAGAGTTAGACTCGAAAATATGACAACTGAAAATGGTTGATTAGTCTTGGATTCTAATTGTCAACTAATGATCACTGCATTTGTATATTGGGTTTATAATTTAAGGCCAGGGTTTTAGATTTTCCATATAGATTGGTGAACCTGGCCTAGTTTCTTGGTCTGAGGCTGTACCTGCCATTATAAAGATTTGTGTGTCGGGGGAAAGATCAGATGAGAAGGTAGATAGGTCAGCAGAAGTACATAACCGTCTACAGAATAAAAGCCAACTGACCAAGAACAGAAACTCATGATCTACTTCAAACAACAGAGCCTATAGGTACTAGTAAGTTGTAAATGTGCCTATTTGAAAAGAAGAGTGAAGGCACATTTGGATTTTATCTGGTGCTCAGTTAAATTTAAAGTGTGGCGTGTTTAACCCTGAATGACTCTGAACATTATAAATTGTATAGTCAAGTTGACTATAACATACAGGCCAAACATTTTTTAGTCTTAACTGCAATTGGATTAGTTATGTAAATATTCTTTGAATCATAAGATTAAAATAATGCAAGCACAGATCTACCATCTGGACTTGTCATGACACAGAAGTTTGAAGAACATCTGTGTATTGAGCAGGAACTCTGACGTGGAGGCATTAGCTATTTCTCCAGCTTCTGTTGCTGCAGTCTTAGAAGTCTGGAAGTGGGAGTCCTAGGAAAAGACCCACAGGAGAAATGATTCAGGTTCTCTGGGAGCCTAAGCCATGTGATTATTGGCATGGGGGGGGGCGGGTGGAGGGAGTGAAGCATGAGTTTACTTATTGAGCACTTACCTATGTGCCAGACGATGTCATAAATGCTTTCCTACGTAATGTCATTAAAACGAGGCTCAGAGAGGTGGTGTCATTTCCCCAAGTTCACATAGCTAACAGATAGAGCTGGGTTTGTAGCCTTCCTTCCAGCCTGGCGTTGAAGCTACTGGGAGACAGTTGAAAAAAAATTTTTTTTTAAAGATTTTATTTATTTGACAGAGACACTGAGAGAGGGAACACAAGCAGGGGGAGTAGGAGAGGGAGAAGCAGGCTCCCCTCTGAGCAGGAAACCTGATGTGGGGCTCGATCCCAGGACGCTGGGATCATGACCTGAGCTGAAGGCAGATGCTTACCGACTGA